GATGAAACTTCCTATTTAATCTCAGAACAGAGAATTCCAGGTCATCTAGGGAGTGGGCAAGTTGCCCCCTTATCACTTTTCTCAATTTGTTCCAAAGAATTTAGACAACTAATCGATACCAATTTCCTTATCTATAGATTGGGGATAAAAATACCAGATTCAGAGCTATAAGAATTAATGAGATAATGTGTTGCATGATTAACAATGCTATGTAATGCATTATATTTATCAGTAATTAAAATTTACACAGTTTGCTGTCTTGCCTGATACGAAATCGTGGAATCCAGGTGGTGGCATGGTGGTTTAGGCAACTGTGCCGTTTGAGTCCTGGACCTGGCAGCTTGAAAGACATGCTGGGCGTGTGTGCATGTGTGCCTAAAATCCTGAAAGGAGAATGGAGAAGGAATTGAGGCATGGCTATTTGCTATGGGGTGCTTTCTCATTTTCCCTCTTTCTTTCTCTGTCTCTCTCCAGTGAGTGTACGTGCCCTCTGGTCAAAAAAAAAAAAAAAAAAAAAAAAAAAAAAAAAAAAAAAAAAAAAAAAAGGAACAAAAAGTAGAATTCATTAGGCCATTGGAAACAGATCTGAGTTTTAATCCTCCCTCTTACTCTTGCTGTTGACTTTGGGTAGCTATTTCAGTTTTTTGAGCTCTAGTTTTCATCAGATGATACAGAATATTTCCACATTGCAGGAAGCTCTCAGCACAGATATATGGATTAACTACCCAACATGACGCCTAGCATAAAATAACTCCTCAATAAATGTTTCCTCTTCCTTTTCAACCTTTTCTCCCTCTCTGTTCTGTTAGTTAACCAATTATTTGACAAGGTCTAACCTCACATTTCTTTTGTGAGTCATGTTCTCATCTCTCCATAAAAAAAATTCTATTTTCTCCATCGTAAGACCAAAGCAACTTATTAAATAAACAAACAAAAAATATGATGAGGATTGTTGAGTCACCTTGTTTTTTTCATAAAGACAACCATGTACTATATAGTTAAGGCAATTACACAGTCAGTTATTAGGTTGATTATTCAATAATTAGGGTTCATTAAGAGGACAGATTTTTATTATCTTGATTGGTCCTTCCTACATTCAGTAAGGACAACTGAATGTTGTGAAATAACACAGTATAAATATTGGAAACCTCTGATGCTCTTTCTAGGAGAGGTTAAATTATTGTCTTTACAGAGATTTTTTTTCTGGGACAACTTTATATAAGAGAAAGCTGGGCAGATTTAAGAAATAACTTTTGAGATGACTAGATTCCCTGTACCTCTAGCTAATGTTAAAAAGCATCCCAGAAGGCATGAGCTTAGCTTTTTTGTGTTTGGCTGCAAAGTTATTTTTGAAGATGATCTCTACAACCTGTTCAAAACTCTCAGATTCTGAAAATTAGATTAATTTATTGTCATTTTTTTCTAAGCAGTATGCTATTCCCAGCACTGTAAGCAGCCTCCAAAGAGAAGTATCTAGGTATGGCACAATTATGTATTTGCTAATAGGGTGACAACTTTTAGGTGTGATCTTCAAAATAGTTTAATTCAGTCTTTTGTTGATGAATAACCACTGTTTCCAGAACTTTGAGGTGCAGAAAAACTGATGTCATGAGAAAGCAAACACTCTCTTGTGCCATGTGCTCTGAGCATGCAAAAGGAACACCACCCCTTACCGTATTACATTGTTAGATCATAAGTGATACCGGACAGTGGCTGGCTGTCTCAGATGTTTTAGATATTTTTAGTATGTGAAAAATCAGATAGTCTCATTTTAAAAATAGTCTATAATACTTCTGTAATTTTTGCTGCCTTCATTTTTTACATATTGGTGTATAGAAGATTAATTTTACACACAGACTGTCCGAAGTCCATGTTTAAAGTAGAGTTGAAAAAACATCTTCAAATACCTCTGTACACATCTACTTTCAACTCTTAGGCCATTAGGACATCTTTTGTACTGACTTTGCTTCCCCTGGAAATGTAGCCCCATCTCGAGCTCCAGTGTCATCCAGAATCTTACCTGCTCCTGCAGGTGGCTGATGCTTTCCTCATATTGGGAGTAATCTTTCTTATTGCCGAGGTCTCTCTGCTGATGCCATTGCAGGATGTGGCTCTCGAGCTTCTCGTTGGCCTTCTCCAGGGCGCGCACCTTGTCCAGATAGGAGGCCAGGCGGTCGTTGAGGTTCTGCATGGTCTCCTTCCCATTTCCACCAAGGAGGGAACTCCCTCTTCTAGAATCCCAAGACCCTCCAGAGGGCAGGCAGGTTGGCCTGGTGAAGGAAAGGGAGATACGAACTCCCCCTGCACCACCGTGGACACTGGGAGCCCGGGGGAAGCTCCCCAGCCGGCCCCAAACACCTCCAGTGCCATGAAGAGAGGCTGTGGGGGTCTGGCTGAAGCTGCGGCTGGAGTTCATAGTCCCATCTGTGTTTGGGACAGGGCTGAGCTCTGCTCCACTCCCTGGCACTGCAGAACTGAACCGCCCCTGACTGCCCTGGATGTTTTTATGCCCTTTGCTGTGGGAGTTCCCTTCTCTGACAACTGTACCAACAAGATCATATCATTGTGCAACGTGTGTTTCCTCTTGGTCAATCCCAAGTGCCCCTGGGCCTTTACACACATTGCTGTTGTTTCGAGCCACATCAATGTGCCAGTTTGATTTTTCTCTTCCAGTTGTAACCAGAGGCGTGGCCCATGACATCAGGTGGGTATTAGTCTCAGGTGTCTTTCTAATCTTTCTGTGGAGTTTTCCTACTGTCTCTTTATCTGAAAGGGTCAGATTAAAGTCCACAAAAGGATTATTTGATGCAGTATAGGTTTCCTTAAAAAAATACAGTAAACAAATAGATACATGTATTACCCCCCACACCCCAAATAAGCAAACGCCAGCTCTGACACAAGGGTAGGACAGACTCTTATAGGTAGAGCCAGATTAGAACAGAAACCCAGGTCCTGGAATAAAGCTACTTGTGTTGAGGAAATAGAAAAGATTCTGAATATCTGATGCCTTTGTGGCAGTAGCTGTTTGATGGAAAGTAATTTCAAAGAAAGCTCTCTTAGGAACAAACCCTCAATTAGAGTTATAATTAATTAATGAATGACCGGGCCTTCCGCATCCAGATTGCCTTTCATCCCAGCACACCTCAAAACTAAACAACTCTGGCCTGTGCTCAAGACTCCTTCCCTTGGTCCCTGGGAGGAACGTAGTCATTGTTGACTGCCCAGCAGCCCTGTCCCCGGGTGAGCCCGGCAATGGCTGGGCTCTGTGTGTCTGCAACCTGTAATAGGGACTGCGGAAAACAGGAAATGTGCCATGGGTTGTCTAACTTGCTTGATGAATGTTGTGCTTCGTCTGCCAAGGTAAAGGTTAGCAATGAATAAAGAAGTAGTCTGGGGGTGGGAGCCACGTGCTGGTTACTGGTGCCTAGATTTAAAGGGGACTTAGAAATAAAATGTCAATGTGGGAAGGAACTTTCAAGTTCTTGGTTCTAAGACTTTAATTTGATAAATGAAAGCAAAACAAAACAATGTAGAACAACTGGGACCGGGGATAGCTTGAGAACAAACTGTGGGCTGGAGGCAAAGCCAGGCAGGATTCTTTTTCTGTATAGCACTGTCACCATTGAGCTGAATCTTGGCAGAGAGTTGTACAACACTTCTCTTACATGGTTCTTTGATTTTCTTTTATGAAAAAAGTTCATTTTATTTCATTATTTCTCTCCAAGAGAGAAAGAGACAGGGAGAAGGCTAGAGAGCGACAGAGACAGAGTCAGGCTCCCCCATGTCTTCACACCCCAATCTGGTGTCAGCTGGTCTGGATCATGGGCACAGGCACACCCAATGTGCTCAGGGAGGTCCTGGGATATGAACTCAGAATATGGGTGACTGCTGTGCTACCACCTGGCCTGATAAGTGTGTGTGTGTGTGTGTGTGTGTGTGTGTGTGTGTATGCGTGTGTGTATTTAATTTGATATAGGGTGAATGCATTTGCCAGTTGAGAGAGAGAGAGAGAGAGAGAGAGAGAGAATAAGAATGAGAAAGCACCCTCCCCCCCAGGGGGATAACAATGCCTTAATCCTCCTTTCTTCTCCTCTTGGGATTTTTGGACACACATATATGCTTCCAGTGTGTTTTTCAAGCCACCAGACCCAGGACTCAAATCAAGCAGTTGGCCATGTGAGATCTAGCTGCCTTAACCACCATGCCATCTGGATGGCTCTGATCATCTTTTTTTTCAAAGAAATATTTTATTAACTTTATTTATTCCTTTATTGGAGGAATTTTTGCTATAGGGTGTGGCACTCGCCAGAAAGACAGAGAGAGACAGAGAGACAGAAAGCAAGAAGTCGATCCCCAGGGGAGATGGCCATACCACAATCCCTTCTCCACTCTCCTCTCGGGATCTTGGGCATGCACACACATGCGCCCAGCGTGAGTTTTTTAAGCCATTGGGTCCGGGACTTGAACCACGGTCGACTACATGGGAGTTTAGTGACAGCCATTATGTCAGCTGCTGGTCCCCATTAATTTATTTTAATTAGACTAGAGAGGGACAGAGAGAAAGAGAGAGATAGAGAGAGAAGGAGAGTGAAAGCAAGCTCCCAGATCTGGGACTTGAATTGCAGTTGGCCATGTGGGAATCCAGCACCCTTAGCCACTATGCCACCTGCTGTCCCTCTGATATACTTTATTTTATCCTCATAACAACCCTTGATGTAGCCTGGCAAGGGTTATTGTCTTTATTTTGCAGATAAGGAACCAGGGGCTCATGGAGGTGAGTGAGTGAGAGCTGATTTGCATGTGTAATATAATTGAGCACAAGAATTTGCAGATGGCACTGCCTTGTTCTGTGCTGTCCCCTCTGCTGGAAAGTTACCTGCCCCTGTTTGCCCTGTAGTTTAACAAGGGAACTTCAATAATTATTTTCTGAATTCTCCTGCATGAGTGCTTCTTCTAGGAGGAAATTGCTTCATCTGGTTCTCAAGATCCTCCAGAGGGGCAAATATCTCCTGGCATCTCCACCCTACCCTGGAAGCTAAGAGCTTCCCAGCCATGCCCAGTCACCTCTTGGGTCCACCCCATTCTTTCATGTACCACATTATACTGCATTTGTTACACTCTTCTGAGGTTGCAGGCTTCTTGAAAACAGAGATTATGTCTTAAGTCAATACCAGAGTCAGACTTCTTGTAGGCATTTTATAAATGCGTGTCAATGCAAAAGTAAACTTTTAAAAAAGTTTTTTCCTTTCATGAGAGTGATAGATTGAGATGGGGGGGACACCCTCTCTAGGGGATCACCCCTTAGCTTTCTCAGTCAGCCAGGATCACAGGGGCATGGCTGGTGTGTACAAGTTGAGTGAGAAACTGAATTCCAATCTCCCACCTGGACTCAGCATCGCAGAGTGGCTGCTACCATTGTACCACCTTGGAGCATCAGTAATAAACTTTTTAGAGTCAAAATTTTTACTCACATCCTCTGCTGCCATTACCTCTTGCTTGTGTTTGGAACTGTGAGTGTTAGAAATAGTGGGAAAAAGCACGAACTAGGAGTGGACTAGCCACTCATTAAGGCCAATGTATTTCCAATGATCATTAAAACCACTCGGAGCATACCAACTCTGCTCCTCCTGCCCTTGCAATGAAACTTTGTCAAGGAAGGTCCTCTGGAGTTTCCTCATTTCACTGTGCACAAGCTGGAAAAACTTAGCTATGGATATGGAGGCCTTGGAGCATGTTTAAAGGGAATGTATGTAAGATAAACGTACATCTCTAACTTGAGGAAAAGATGACAGGGAGACAATATAAATAGAGCAAAGTAGGGAAACATAGTGACTTGTTTAGAGGTAGTGTTCCAATGTACATGGGTGGTTCCGGGTTCTTTGTTTTGACTCAAGATAATGATTGACTCTGGTTCCTGTTCCCTTGGGCCCAGACTCATAAAGAACGTTCACCTCTAGTATATGCAAGGACCAGGCTATGCTCCCTTTTCACAAACTCAGTACAGTGGAACTGCTCATTTCTCTGCTCATTGCATGTCTGACTGGCAGTGACTTATTAGCCCCATAAATTTGGTCCATGTCTCATTTTATACCAGTGTGTGGGAGTTTTGATTTATAGGTGCTAACCTTGAGCACATGACTTTTGTATCATAGCAAGACTAGGGCAGGGAAAATTTGGTGATGAAATTGGAGAAAACTAAGAAGAAAACATTTCCTCTCATACTATCATACAGTGATAACTATAACTGTAATGTGTGGAGTTCCATTATATTTCAAAAGAAATGATGCCTTTTTTTTAAAAAAAGAAAAAGTAAAGATTGTACATGATTATTTTTAAAAAATTCAAGTACTACATGAAAGTACAAGAAATAAGATTAAAAAAAAAAAAAACCTCCAAATTCCACCATACAGATATAACCATTGGTGACATTTGGCAAACATCATTTCAGATATTCCCTATGTTGTGTGTACTGTGTTGTATATATGAATGGCTAGAAGAACTTTAGAAAAATAAACTCATACAGCTTAATCTAATTTTGAAGGAATTAAGTTGGGGCCAGCCTTGTAGCCTAGCAGTTAACAGAGTTGTATCTCACTTGACTGACCATGGTTCAAATCCAGACCCTGACTGTATGCCCCAAATCCCCAAAGATGGAAAAATAGAGGAGATGGGATTGTAGTGTGACCATACCCTTTGGGGAAGGAGAGGCGTTTTCTCCTTCTATGCTCTCTGTCCCTTATTGGTGAGTACATGTGACCTCTGGCAATTAAAAAAAATTAAGTTAATTAAAAAATTAGTTGACAAAGAAAAAGCTAAAATGAAATTAATATGAAGTTATATATTTTGTATAGGAATTTTAAAACATGCATAACTTTCTTTTAAATTTATATATATATATATTTGGAGAGTTTTTCGCTATAGGGCGTGTGCGCTTGCCAGACAGACAGAGACATAGAGACAGAAAGCGAGAAATCACCCCCCAAGGGGGATGGTCACGCTGCAATCCCTTCTCCTCCATTCTCCTTTCAGGATCTTGGGTACGCACGCACACGCGCCCGGCATGAGTTTTAAGCCACTGGATCCGGGACGTGAACCGCGGTCGACTATGTGGGAGTCCAGTGACATAGCCATTACGCTAACTGCTGGTTCCCTAAATTTACATTTTAAATGAGAGTAAAATGACCTGTAAATGCCAACATTTGTGGAATCACAGAACTGGAAATAATGTCAACAACTAGTCACTTGTTGCAGCTTTCTGCTTTTAGGTAGGGAAACACTAAATTGCTGAGCTTATTTTTAAACTTTTGAAAGAACTCAAAGGGATAATGGTTCCCACTATTCTCTCAATAAATGTCCAATATTTAGTCGTCGTTTTGATGAATGAGTATCTCACCTATGAAATGATTTCATGATTTTTTCAAAAAAATTTCTGTGGAGTTCAAATTGTTCAGAATCAAAGTTATCTTTTTTCTGCATGGCTTTCCCA